AAGTTTTCTTCATGTGTTGAATCAAGCTACTGGTGAGAAACTGCTATTTTCTTTAACTCATGTGAGGGAAGGAGACAAGAAATTTAAAATGCGAGAATTCCATAGTTTGCAGAAAATTCCTCATGTTTTTTGCCTTTCTGAAGTCTGGTGCCTCGACTTACGAACATCCTGACATACGACCATTTCGAGTTGCGACCAGCTCCAGCCACCGAATTTTGCTTCGACGTGCGTCCGGAGCTTTGAGTTGCAACCAGAAAGGGGCAGGGAAAAAGGTGGGGAATTCAAATAACAAAGTAACTCTTTTGCTTCGACGTGCGTCCGGAGCTTTGAGTTTCAACCAGAAAAGGGCAGGTAAAAAGGTGGGGAATTTAAATAACAAAGTAACTCTTCTGCCCCAAATGTTAGAGTGTGTGTGTTGGAGGAGGTGTCTGATTGCCTGGTGCTGCTTTCTGCTCCTGGGTGAGTCCATTTACAGGGTGGGTTTCAGCTGATGGGGTGTTATGTTACTGTGCTGTGTTGTTGTTTTGGTTTTTTGGTGAATTTTTTTTTTGCAGCCCCATTGCGTTCCAATGGGACTTGCAGTGATTTTTTTTGGTATGTGGGCTTATTTTTTGGCATTTTTAAAAATACTAGGCCATGTGAATTCCTGAATCTATTCACAAAAAACACATTTTCCTCAATGCCTGCTTTTCCCACATAGAAAGTTCACTTTACTACATATGACGTAGTATATTATGGAATTTTTTTTTTGCAGCCCCATTGCGTTCCAATGGGACTTGCAGTGATTTTTTTTGGTATGTGGGCTTATTTTTTGGCATTTTTAAAAATACTAGGCCATGTGAATTCCTGAATCTATTCACAAAAAACACATTTTCCTCAATGCCTGCTTTTCCCACATAGAAAGTTCACTTTACTACATATGACGTAGTATATTATGCTACATATGCCACATAGAAAGTTCACTTTACTACATATGTACTACATATGATTCTCAAGAAAATTACAGGGCATAACTTAGATGCAGGGTGCAAATTTACATTAAAAAATCTAATGTCTCAACTGCTAAATGCAACACAAAGCTAAAGCTATGTTTGCTGCGTTAATTTATCCTTCGACATGAATCAGACAACTCACTTTCCTAATTGCTGTCTTGTCTGACAGTGAACCTTATGAATACACACTGTCATATGTGATGATGCTGTTGACAAATAGGGACATTATTTCATTACATTAAATCTTACCTTCAAACTAAGAGTTTTCTACCTCATTTGTCAATAAAAAGCTGTGTATAAACTCCTACTCTCTGACTACAATATTGATCCACCTTCTAAACTGCAACTAATATGACCATTAATCTGCAAATGACCATAATTTTAAAATATTTCTGATAAATCATGGTAGGCTCATGTTCAGAGCTGCTCATCATTTTCAGGTAAACAACCACCCACTTGTAGCTAAAATTAAATGGATTTGCTGTAAAGCATCAAATAATTCAATCAAGCACATCTCCAAAAAGGCATCTAATCATCCCAACAAACTAATATTTGCGATGCAGATTGTGATAAATGATAAGACTAAAATGCACCAGAGGAAGCTGTATAAGCATCATATCACACTTTTCACTGTCATTTTTTTCAAATAAATATAGATACACAATACTGCTGGGAACTGATGTAGATATAAAAGCAGGCAGACACTATGGAATGACTGGGCTATGCTGGTATGGGGTTGCTCTCACATATAGGATATAGCTGAACTGGATATAGCACAGAAGTGTATACCAGGACTAGACAATATATGACTAGCAGGCTTCAGGAAGCCCCATGGTTTCATTTTTGCAGTCCCCAAGAACTTGGTAAAAATACTGAAATGTCATAACAAGACAGGGGCACAAACCTCAGTTTGGAGGTTCAAGCCAGTTCAGCACTGTGTCTGCATGGGTGTTGTGGGGGCACCACATACTTCACCCTCCCACCTCCTCTACATGCTCACTCATTCCCTGAGCAATGAGCACTTCCCTCTCCATCTCCTCCATGCGACTGCCCACTCAATGTTCACAGCCAGTATTTCACTCCTCCAACTCCTCCAGCAGCCACCCACTCCAAGGCACTGCTGCAGGAATGCCTGCCCTGCTTCCTCATCTGATTGGGCAGCTGCTGGAGGATGCAGAGGAGGGAAGAACTGGCTGTGAATGGTGACTGGGCAGTCGCATGGAGGAGGCAAGGAAGGAAGCACAAATCACCTGGGGAATGCACAAGTGTGTGGAGGAGGCAGGAGGGGGAGGTATGTGGTGCCCACACGACACCTGTGCAGGTGCACTTTATCTCCCGGTTCAAGACAGTGTGGGGTATGAGGAACAACAGCAAGGGCAAGGCAAGGAAGGAAGCACAAATCACCTGGGAAATGCACAAGTGTGTGGAGGGGGAGTTATGCGGTGCCCACACAACACCTGTGCAGGTGCACTTTACAGTGTGGGGTATGAGGAACAAGAGCAAGGGCATCCTTAGATTCCTTAGACTCCATTCAACACCTCCTCCACATAGAAAGATAGCAAAATTCAGGATTACAAACTGATGCACCAGTGAGTGTATCAGCAAGATGGTCAACACAAGATCTGCAAATATACCTAAGTGGTATATTTGTAGCTCTCAGTGACACCAGGGAGCCACCACCACCTAGTCACTGCTCATGTTACCGCTCTACAAGTAACAGGCAGACACTTGTTCTTGTTCCACTGAAAAGTAAATTATAACTATGGTGATTGGGGGGGGGGAGTCTTCATTCGGCTAATTCTTGCAGAATATATCTTGTTTCAAAAGGAACTTTTAAAAAAAGGCCTATTCTGCTTTGGTCAGACTTCAGCAGGAATACTGTGTTCCAGTTCTGGGCACCAGTTTAAGAAGCATATTGAGAAGATGGAACATGTCATGAGGAAAAGAACCAAGATGGTAAAATATCTAGAAAGCAGGAATGATCAAGGAAGTGAGACATCCCAACCCATTTAAAGGGTTGTGGTGTGGAAGTTGGAACAAACTCGAACAAGCTTTTTTCCAGGTGGTGTTTTGTTTCGTTTTGTTTTGTTTTGCAAATCCAGGACAGGACCTGAAATAAAGGATTTAAATTTATTTAAGCCGCCTAGAGTGGTCCGGCGGGCCAGATAGGCGGGGTATAAATAAATAAAAAAATAATAAAATAAATAAATAAATAAATAAATAAATAAATAAATAAATAAATAAATAAATAAATTCTGAGAAAGGAATTTTGCTTAAACATTAGGAAGAACTTCTTGACCAGCTGACAGTGGAATGGAATGGACTGCCAAAGGAAGGGGGTGGACTTTCCTTCTTTAAAGGCTTTGAAGCAAAAGTTAGAAGGCCACTTGTCAGGGATGTTTAAAGTGTAGATTTTCTGCTCCAGCAAAAGAATGGACTTAATGTCCTTTGGGGTTCCTCCCAGCTCTACAATTCTATGATCATCCCATATTCTGTTTCATTACACCACCTTTTGTCAAAACTTGTTACTGACAGTTGTAACTGAAATCACTTTAGAGCACCTCTTTTTTCCCCCACTGTTGGTTGTGAATCACAATGCATTGTACTATTGGGCAGTCTACAGCCTGATACCAGAGCTTTCCTGCCAAGGGCATGTTTAATGCAAGCTTCCCTCTCTCCCCTTTTCTCATCTTAGCTTTCCTGCCAAGGGCATGTTTAATGCAGGCTTCCCTCTCTCCCCTTTTCTCATCTCACCCTACCCATCACAACTGGCTTGGAATATAAACCACAGACAGAAGAGAGGAATTGCCACTACCTGTCTGCAATGAAAGCACTTGCAGATTATTCCTTTACTTCTTTTCCTTCTTTTCCTTTCCTTCCCCCTCCCCCCCCGCCTGTATAGATCCTATCTGTATGGGACTCTTCAAAGCTTTGCATTTAAAACACTGTCAGAAAATGGTAGTTACACATCTGCACACAAATACCCTAAACTGCAAAACAGTTTTATCTTGCAGGGGGTGAGAATAATAATCATGTGCTGTCAAGTCAATTCTGACCTATAGCAAACCTTTTCAGGATTTTCCAGGTACAGAATACTCAGAAGTGGTTTACCATTCCCTTCTTCCGGGGGTGGCCTCGTGGTTTACCATTCCCTTCTTCCAGGGGTGGCCTCCTACTGTGCAGCTTGCCTGAGGCTACACAGTCTGGCCCTACTTCACAGGAGGCATAGTGGAGAATCAAACTCCCAACCTGAGCTATCCAGCCAGCTTATGGGAAATTGAGAGAGTGCCACAATATTTTCCTTCCTTCCTTCCTTCCTTCCTTCCTTCCTTCCTTCCTTCCTTCCTTCCTCAACATGTGGAGACAGACTAAAATGCCTACTTCTTTGAGAAATGAGGAAAATATCATTTCTGGAAGCTTGTTTTAAAGGTACAGTGGAAGATACAGTATGACAGTGAAGAAAGGCAAACTGTGTTATGTATTGTGACTATTAAAACTACTACAACTTTAAAAGCAGGGGCAGAATGTAAGTCCTTATACTTCTGTGCCTCAAGAAATACACTAATTAATGTATGAGTCTGGAGGCGAATGAATGGGCATCCATTCGTTGGGAGATGTGATTGTCAAGGCATAATCCAGCACAGTTAAACTGTCTTCTGATAACTGTAAACTCCAGTTGACTAGTCTTTAAAGAGAAACATTCTGAGAGGAAAATATAACATTTATTTATTTAGAAAAATACCACACTTTTTGACAAAATGCATGCCACCTGTGCAGGTGAGAATAAACAATAAAATGAGGTTGTGCAGGAAAAACAAGAAGATGAAAAAAAGAGATCTAAAACAGAGCAGAGAAGCAGACAACAACAACTAAGCCCAAACAGATGCTACTGCTTCAGTAAGGACCCTCCTTAGTAGAAGATCTGGAAAAATGAACAAGTCCAGAAGGGAGTAAGAGTTCCTTCAGATTCCCTACTCCCAAATGGGTTAGTCAAAACCAGTATGTTACCTTAAACTGCGGATTATAGCACAGCCTTCCACAGATGTTTTCATTGATACCACATTCCAAGGACAAACACACCCCTCTACTTTGGTGTTTTGATAGTTGCTGGGATACAATGCATGAATTCTGAGCTTTGCGTAATAATTCATATCCTAAGATAATGCCATTTGGTTGTCCGGGTGACGCCCAGTTAATCTGAAGTGACCTAGAGCAATAAGAAAAATACACACCACATAAATATATAAGATTAACTCATGACATCTGTACTTCCATTCTGCTCCTCCAAAACCTCAAATGCATACAAGTGTCCTTTTATCATTGTTGATACAGAATGGAGCTCTGGATGTGCCAGCCTTTTTTAAAAAAAGTCTTTTCTTGGAAAAGATCATTATGGAATACATACAGTATGACTCATCCCTTGGCAGGAGGATAGAGTTGAAAACCCTGATGTGTAATACACTCTGATGTATAACAGAAGAAAAGGTACTTCCTTCAGCCAAAGCAAAGAGCTGAGCTTCACTGATAATAATTTGACTCAGGTTATTTCCAACTTCTTCAAAACAAGAAATTTTAGATTAAAGACAATACGCTAATTATTCAAAATACTGGAGGAGGAGTTAACTTTGGGCAAGTCCTTTCAGCTGGTTAATGAACACAGTTGTCTGTAAGAATAACACAAAATAACTTCATCTCACTCCTCAAACTGATCCTGGAATACAGCCCAATGGGTCTAAGAATGAGAATTATATGTTGGCCAGAGTCTAATTGAAAAATTACAACTGATGTGAGTTGATTGGTATAAAATTTCAGAGCAAAAAGCAAAGCAAAGTGGTTTAAAGTTTAATTAGGCAGACTATTTTATTTATTTCTTTATTTATTCCTTGAAAGACATATAACCTTCTTTGAAGAAGAAGCACAGGAACAAGATATAAATGAAGGAAAAAGTAGAAAGCAGAGAGAGAAAACACCAGAAGAGGAGAGTGAGCTAAGTGAAGAAGAGAGTCAGAAAAAGGATACTGAACAAAATTTTAACAAAACACAAAGAGAAAAAAAGAATACTATTTATTTATTTTATTTAATTCATATGCCGCCCACTCTACCCAGAGGTCTCTGGGCGGCTTACAACAATTAAAATTCAATACAATAAAATACAATAGACTACACATTTTCTTCACATCAGTGAGCTGGGTACTCAATTGACTGAGTCAACCTTGAGTAGCCTACCTGAATCCACTGGGATCGAACACAGGTTGTAAGCAGAGTTTTGACAGCAGTACTGCAGTTTAATCACTGCACCATGAAGCTCTCAGTAGTGAATTGCTGATAGTTCAGGGGAAGGTAAGAAGGATGATTAGGGGTCAGGAAGCCAAGCCCTATGAGGAAAGACTGAAAGAACTGTACATGTTTAGCCTTGAGAAAAGAAAACTGAGGGGAGATATGATAGCACTTTTCAAACACTTGAAAGGCTATCATATGGAGGAGGGGCAGGATCTGTTCTTGATCAACGCAGAGTGCAGGACACACAATAATGGGCTCAAGTTACAGGAAGCCAGATTTCAGTTGAATATTAGGAAAAACTTCCTAACTGTTATAGCAGTATGGCAACATTTCCAATAGCAATGGAACAAATTACCTTGAAAGGTGCTGAGCACTCCAACACTAGAGGCATTCAAGAGAACTCTAGATAACCACTTGGGGGACATCCTTTGATTTGTGTTCTTGCACTGATCAGGGAGTTGGATTCATTGGCCTTATAGGCACCTTCCAACTTCATGAGGCTATAATTCTATGATAGTTAAGACAACATTGTTTACATTTGTACACCAAGTTATGCAGCTGGTGTGCAAATCCAAATTCAGATGCAAATCACTAGTGACAATGTTCTGCTGAGATTTATGCCAATTGACTTACACTGGTGCACACATGCAATAGGTTTCTGGGTATTAAAAATCTACAAGAAAAAACATTCAATATAAATGAGCTAAGAAGTGCACAATTAGAAGTATAAGAAGAAAAAAAAGGAAACCCCACTTCTAAAAATAAACACCTGTACTTTAAAAAAAAAGTCTAAGTCAAATGACATCCAAAAAAAGAGCAGTCCAATCACCTGTATTTCCTAAGAACTGGATTTTCAGAATTAAAGGACTCCCAGTTCCATAATTCAGTGGGAACCCCTCAGGCCAAGTTATGAGACTGGGAGCTGTCAAAATAGCTGGAGATAGAGCAACCCCCTCACCTCCATGCTATTCCCACGCTGCTGCTTCAAACCATTAGAAAACTTCCTTGCTGCACAGTGGAAATCATAAAGATTTCATTGTGAAAGTCATGAGTTCCAACAGAGGCTGCCTTCAAATAGAGCATGTGTTAGAATGTGTTGCCCTATACAACTTTGCAAGTCGCAAGGAATCCTTGTGACTCCCAGTTTGAAGAAGCTGTATAGCAACAGCTATACAACTGAAAGAGGAGAGTGCAAAAAATGGTCTGAAACCCAACATAAAAAAACCCTAAGATCATGGCCACTGGTCCCATCACCTCCTGGCAAAAAGAAAGGGAAGATATGGAGGCAGTGACAGATTTTACCTTCTTGGGTTCCATGATCACTGCAGATAGTGACAGCAGCCACAAAATTAAAAGACACCTGCTTCTTGGGAGGGAAGCAATGAGAAACCTTGACAGCATCTTACACAGCAGCGACATCACCTTGCCGACAAAGGTCCGCATAGTCAAATCTATGGTTTTTCCAGTGGCGATGTATGGAAGTGAGAACTGGACCATAAGGAAGGCTGACCACTGAAGAATTGATGCTTTTGAATTGTGGTGCTGGAGGAGTCTCTTGAGAGTCCCCTGGACTGCAAGGAGATCAAACGTATCCATTCTGAAGGAAATCAACCCTGAGTGTTCACTGGAAGGACAGATCCTGAAGTTGAGGCTCCAATACTTTGGCCACCTCAGTAGTCACCTCATGAGAAGAGAAGACTCCCTGGAAAAGACCCTGATGTTAGTAGAGTATGAAGGCAAGAGGAGATGGGGATGACAGAGGATGATATGGACAGTATAATTAAAGCGACCAACATGAATTTGACTCAACTCCAGGAGGCAGTGGAAATACAGGAGGGCCTAGCATGCTCTGGTCCATGGGGTCACGAAGAGTTGGACACGACTTAATGACTAAACAACAAAAAATAGCAACAACATGGAGGTGAGGGGGGTGCTCTACCTTCTGCCAATTTTGCAGGATCCTAGTCCCATAGAATATATAATCAGAATAACTGTGTTGGAATAGGCATATAAGTTCATTGAGTCCGACTCCCTTTTCACTCTTGAAAGATTGTCATATAGAACAGTGGTCCCCAACCTTGGGCCTCCAGATGTTCTTGGACTTCAACTCCCAGAAATCCTGGCCAGCAGAGGTGGTGGTGAAGGCTTCTGGGAGTTGTAGTCCAAGAACATCTGGAGGCCCAAGGTTGGGGACCACTGATATAGAAGACAGGCAGGATCTGTTCTAAATCATTCCTCAGGACACATAATAATGGACTTAAGTAACAGGAAGAGAGATTTTGGTTGAATATCAGGAAAAAAATTCCTAACTGTTGGAGCAGTACAACAATGGAACCAATTACCTCAGGAAGTGGCAAGTGCTCCAATACTGGAGGCATTCAAGAGAAAACTTGACAACCATTTGACTTCAATTTGTATTCCTACATTGAGCAGAGGGTTGGACTCAATGGCCTTATATTCCCTTTCCAACTCCATATTCTATGATAATTTTGGCAAGCCACCCAAGAATTAGCTGCTTTAAGTTCATTTAAGACTTAAGCACATTGCTTCCTTTAAGAAAATGGAATTTAAGAGTGCTTAGCTCTGATGGGATCATTTTAGAAACCATTATAGCCCAGTTACACAGCTGCTGTCAGAACACTTCGTGCCATTGTAAATTAGCATTCATTTAAAGTTAGAGAGTTATGTTGAGGCAGCAGACACAGAGATAAACTTTGACATCTTTAAAGAACAAAAATAGCACAATGATCTATTATTTCACTACCTTGAGGTATAAACAGAGGAACACATAACAATAACAATCTGTAGAGGAAGAATTAATGTCACCTGTGAAGGGATAACTTCACAGGTTACTTGTAGAGGCACCATTATTATTCTGAAGTCTTCATCTGACTTGCTGAATTAATACCATAGCCTGTTGAAGTCTGTTTTATATTCACTGCATACTCAACTCAAGGGGGGAAAATCCTTACATATAAATGATTTACTGACAAATACATAACAAGAGAAGAAAAGAAAGAAAGAAAGAAAGAAAGAAAGAAAGAAAGAAAGAAAGAAAGAAAGAAAGAAAGAAAGAAAGAAAGAAAGAAAGAAAGAAAGAAAGAAAGAAAGAAAGAAAGGGTCCTAAGCCTCATTGTGAAGATTTGGTATACATGTAATATTAGAAATAAAGAAATAAATGGAAGTATTTTCTTTTATAATACTGTACTTTGACACAGTACATTATTGGGGGGGGGTTTAAAATGTGATCACATGCTTCTTCCCAAGTATAGTCTATTCCAGTTAGTGATGCTGTTCAGAGATAAGAGACTGCAGTCATGCCTCTAAGTTCCACATACATTTCTGCAAATTGCCTACATATTTGGGGAACTTGAAAAATGCAGTTTGTGGGAGATCACTGGGCTGCTGATCTATCCACCATACTTCCCCATCACGCTCCTAACATTTAAGTGTTTGAGGAAACATCCAAATGGAAGCTGGATCTCCACATGTATATACTAAACAATACACAATTTTAGTGTACAAAATCAAGGGGTGAATATCATATATAGAGCTTTCCCAGTCATGTACACTGTTTATGTGCTACATCAGTCACAAAAGAGGAATAATCAAATGTGATCTATTAGTGTTACTCAATCTTTTGCATATGTTCTTCATTCATGAAAATAATAAAGTTAAGCTTCTCTGCCCATCACTCACCTTTCAGTGCAGAGGACAGCCTAGTTCTGAGGTGTGCACAGAGTGCATTTTGTATAGCATAGCGGAAGAGCAACTGAGCATGCCATTTCCTAAGCACAAAGCTAAGTCAAATAAGTAACTTCTGGACCCCTTATATACATTAGACTTCTATTCTAGACCCTTCCAGACTATGTGTGTCTGAAGAAGAGGTTTTTATCAGTGGGAGCTCACAGTAAAATAAATCTCTTATTCTTAAAGGGCCCATCATATTTCTTTTTAATGCCAAAACACAGTAACCTAGAGTAAAGCAGACCCATTTGACAAGAAGGTCAGTCTTTTTTGTGCAGCTGGAAATCTTCCATATGCTCGTATGTTTGATCACATCTGGAGCTACTTTTTGCTCCTTCCTTCACATGAGCTAGAAAGGAGCAGCTATTACTGAAATACATGAGTGACTGAATGGAGTCTCTTCGTTTCCTAACAAGTTCTGGTTAAACTCAAAATGGAACCAAGGTCTTCTGGAACAAACAATAGCCACTCAACCCACTTGCCTCCCTCAAAATGGCTAAACAATGAAAAAAGAAAAACTGTCCATCAGAATAGACATCTGACATCCCAAGACACTGAACTAACTGCACAGTTAATAAATGTTGTCCCTGTACTCCAAACTATAGGAAATGCCTATAGTTGAGAGGTGATATATGCATTGTTTCCAAACTGATATGTCTGCATACTTAAAT